GCAATAGAAAATTCTTTCTCTTCTGTGGCTGATAACTCTTGAATGTTGCCAATACATTGAACTTGAACATTCGGTTCGTGATCACTCTCATATCCGAATATTGCTGAGTCTATTATGTGTTCTAAGGAGTATCTGGATAGTGCATCCGCCACTACATTATCTCGCCCTCTAGTAAATACTATTTTGAAGTCGTAATCCCAAAGTTTGATAATTAAGCGAGATATGCGGGCTGACGGATTTTTTAAGCTGCGGTAATATTTTAAGCTAATGTTATCACTATATACCGTAAAATGTCTGGCGTAAAGGTACTCTCTGAAGAATTCGATAGCAAAGGTCAGACCTAGAAGTTCTAACGTAGTAGAGCTGTAGGTTTTTTCTGATTCTAACAGCTTCCGAGAGGCATAACCTATGACTCTTGAAATGTTGTTTTCGTCTGTCTGTTCTAGCACTCCACCTAGCCCTCGAATACTTGCGTCAACGGTCAAGCTCGTTGGTCTATCATCGTTAAAGTGTGCTAGAATAGGTTTTGATGTTAATAAGGTTTTCAGTTGTCCAAACGCTTCAGTATGTTCTTGTTGCCAGTTAATTTTCTCGTATTTTTTTGTTTTTGTTAACTCTGTAAGGCAATTAGCGATCTGTGCGAACGATTTTATATGTCTACGGTAAAATGAACAAAGTCCTAAAAAGCTTCTAACGTCTTTAACCGTTTTGGGGCGGGGAAAGTCTGTTATGGCTCTTATGTTGCGGTCCAACGGTGTTATGCCGTCGCGTGTTATCCGAAAGCCTAATAGGTCTATTTTATCAGAGAATAAAATACATTTATTTGTTTTTATTTTGAGTCCGATTTTGTCAAGAATTTTAAATACTTTTTCGAGATTTTCCAAGGCTTCTGGAAAAGTCTTTCCGAAGCATGCTAGGTCATCTATATAGATCACAAGTGATTTATATAACAGTTCTGAGAAAGCATTGTTGACTATTCTGCTGAATATTGCTGATGAGTTGCGAAAACCCATTGGTAATCGGCAAAACGTCATTAAGCCACACGCACTGGTGAATGAAAGTAAATGTTGACACTCTTCTTTAATAGGAATTTGAAAAAAACTATTATTAAGATCTAGACTTGAGAAGAATTGTGAGTTTTCTAGTGCTCTGAACAAATCTTGAGATCGTGGAAGTGGATAGTTGTCAGGTTCAACTCTTTCGTTTAAGTCCTTGTAGTCTATTACTAGACGATGTTGATCTTTTTCTTTCTTTTTGACGAGAAAAGCGTTTGCTGCATATTTTGACATGCCGTGTTTAATTATTCCTACGTCAAGTAATTTATCTAATTCTTTTTTCAAAATGTCTCTTTGAGCAGGGGATACTCTATGTGGAGCATTAAATTTTGGTTCTTTTACGTTTTCCTTTAGTTTTATTTCACATGGCGGTACTTTTGCTGGCTCTAATCTAGATGCGTCCGTAGAAAATACGTGTAAGTATTTTTTCACTAGGTCAACTACTTTAGCGTGTTGTTCTTGGGATAAATGTGATGATATCTTAATAGGCGTGTTGTCATTGTCGGTTAATTGCTCTTTAATTGTTTCGTTATGCATAGCTGTGTGAACAGTTGACAATGATGTTGCTTTGTCCTGTATCATCGTTTCTGTATTTGGGTGGCCGTGGCTCGTGGCGTTAGCTACTCCGATTTCATTGATAATTGCATTATCGTTTTTTATGCACTGTTTACTATGCTCCACGTGGAGCTGTACTGACTGAATAATTTTTTTTAATGGTAGAAATTCGTTTATCTCTACTATATGCTGCGGTATGTACTTTGATGTTTTTGTAGTCGGCTTGCCGGGCCGCCAATGAGTACCATTATTTACATGATATAGTACCGCAAAATTTCGATCACCCGTTCCGTACATTACTCCGTATTTATGTTTTTCAGAATAAATGTACGTGTCCATTGAATAGTGATTTAATATGCTGGCAATTTCTTCATCTGAAAACCAATAGCCTGGGACGTCTTTTATTTTTAATAACACCAATAAATCACAAAGTGTGATTTTCTTTTGTTTAGATGAGCTAATTGCATTGCAAATTGCATGCAATGCGCAATTGTTGTCTTCCGCAACATTTTCGCCCATTTGATATTTTTCGAAGACCTCCCGTAGTTTTGCTAAACGTGTGTTGTCAGCAAATTTATTCTGTGCGGCTATTTGTGTTGTGAGTGTAGAAATAACGTTCTTACTGTTCACGTTATTTGTATTGTTTTTTTTTATTGCGACTTGGTCGGCGTTGTATATTTTCGTAGTTATAATATTTTTTATAATCATCAAATTTGAATTAAAGTTAATATGAGCCTTATTATTGAATAGAAATCTGTTTCCCAATATGAGCGAACTTATTAAGTTATTTACAACATAGACGTCTACATCAAACTGCTCGTTCTCAATGACGATTTGAATAATAGTTTTTCCTATTAAATCCAAGGGCTTGTTATCTGCTCCGGTTATTAGCATATTTTCAACCTTTTTAATGTTGTATTCTTTAGCTAATTCCGCGTTTAATATATTTAGATTTGCCCCGGTATCTATAGTGACTGTTATTTCTGCTTGGTTTAATGTGGCTATGATGTACAATGCTTTTGCGCTAGAATATTGACTTGTCGATTGTACGTACTCAATTTTATTGCTTCTATTAACTTTATTTATAATATTTTTTGATTGATGAGATTCTATTTTTGATTTTGCTAAGGTTAAAGGTGAACGTATGTCCTTAGCGTGAGCGTTTAACCTAAAAGCTAGTTTTTTGAGTTGCAATTTTTTGCTGTGTGATTTTGGCTCTGGCATAATTGACACTTTGTGTCATCTGCTTCCTTTTTTCTGGATCTGCAGACATTTGCTTCGTGGCCGTATTTTTCACAAATTTGGCATTGAACTATTAATTTTTTGTTACGGAAACAATTCTCAGTAATGTGGTTAGTCCTGTGGCAAATATCACATTTTCTGTTTTTGCCGGACGTGTTACCATTAAATTTTTTTACTGTATTAGTCCGTGATTTTTGAAAATCTAAAAGTTCTTTGACTTGCCTTTTTAATTGCTCTAGCTCATTTTCTTGTTTTTTATTTGACATGTGTTGGATTTGTTCCTTAAGAATGTCTGTTCTAATTTCTGAACTAGACTTACTTCTATCGCCTTCTATGAGAAATTCTGTAGTCTCCCATTTTCTTATGTTCTTTTTTAGACTGTCTAAGGTGTCATTTTCCAACATCGAAACCATTCTTAAAATGTCGGGGCGTAATCCCTTCATAATAAGATGTACTTTTTCTTTTTGTGACATGTCTTTATTTATACGTAAGCATAAAGCTTCCGCTTCATTTAAATAAGAGCTTACAGATTCGTCCGGGTGTTGATGGCGTTTTTGTAATATCATTCTTATCATGTCTGTTTGAGCTGTTGGCTCAAATTCTAACCTTATTTTATACTCTAGATCTTCCCACTTGATTTGGCCGACAGTGTTTTCTTCTAGATTTTCATAGAAATGTAAAGCCGTACCTTCTAAGAAAGCTGGTAAAAACTGAACTTTTTCTTCGTCGTTCCATTCATTTATAATGCTGGCCCTCTTGTATCGCTTAAGAAACAGGTCTACACTTTCGTGGACTTCTCCTCTAAACTGACCTGGCTTGAAGAATGGCTTTCTACGGTTCTTGATGTCATTATTAGCCATGTTTTTGGTATGTGGTACTGTAAAAGATTCGTTAAGATCTACAACGAAATCTTCCGGAAGCCTCTGACCTTTGATGTACCTAACCAAGCGGTCTCTCTTTTGATCTAGAGTGCCGGCAGTGGTTAGTTTTCTCTTGATTAACTCAGATATGGCTTCGTTAGAATTTAGCTTGTGTGCCCAACCTGTTTTGTAAGATGGACGTTCGTTTTCTTCTGACGGTGTTGGATTAAGCTCTATGAGTGATTTTGTGTATTCTTCTTTGGCCATCAAGTGTTGGATAAGTTGGTTTAATAATACTTTTTTCTTATACTATAACAACAACCCTAACGTAATATATACGTTACCTTTGTTGGGCGCCTCTCTGTCG